CGTCAGCTTTGTCATCAGCAGAGCTGTGCTGGCAAAGCCCTTCACAAACCGTCTGTAGTAATCCGCGAATCTCTGTGGCATTCTGCGGTCTAGGCCAATCTCTGATAGCCTCGATCTTCTCTAGATCTACAGAAACTCCCTCTGCAGACACGATTTGACCTAGAAAACCCATATCTCTCTGCCAGAAACTGGACTTGCTAAGCTTACCATACAGTTTCTGCTCCCGCAGCTTCTCCAATACTGCCCGCAAGTGTCCCTCGTGCTCCTCAGTACTCTTAGAATACACCAGAATATCATCGATGAAGATGATAACGAACGCATCAAGAAACGCCTGAACACGCTGTTCATCAGCCTCATAAACGCCGCTGGTGCATTAGTTAACCCGGAAGGCATCACCACGAACACGCTGTTCATCAGCCTCATGAACGTCGTCTTACGGATATCTGCCTCGTCGATAGGAAGCTGATGGTACCCTGATGCCAAATCAATCTTAGAGAACCACGTAGCTCCCCTCAACTGATCCAACAACTCATCAATCCGCGGTAAAGGATACTTGTTCTTCACCGTGACTCGGTTAACGAACAACACCGGGGCTCCCCACGGTGAAACACTAGGACGGATGAAACCCTTACCCAGCAGATCCTCCAACTGTTTCTTCAGCTCAGCCATCTTTGCTGGAGCCATCCGGTACGGAGCCTTAGACAACGGCGTTGTCCCGGGCTCTAACTTAATCGTGAAGGGATCAGATTGAGATGGTGGTAACCCCTTCAACGACTGAAACACATCCTCGAACTTCTGGACCACTCGGATCTTATCCACTGCTACCTCTCCGACCGTCTCTGGCATAACGTTCGTCGCCAAGTAAGCTTCCCGCCCCTTCCGGATCATCTAATCCGTCTACATCGCCGAAATCACTAAATTTCCCGAAATCAGTCTCACACCCTAGTAATAAATCTTCGGTCCCGGCCGCTCGAACTAGACTCTTCCCCGATGACAATCCAGATGAACTATGTGCCGATCCAACCAATCCATGCCTAGAATTACATCATACAGCTCTACTGAAGTAATGAACAGATATGCCGGCATCGACTCTCCCGTAATCTGTACATCCACACCATTAGTCCGTCCCTGAACCGCTAGCAACGCGCCTCCTGCAACTCTAACGGTTCCAAAACAACCATCAGGATCTCCTCGGATGTTACCACCCTCCCCGCACTCCGTGGTAATGAAGCTATTCGTAGCTCTAGAATCGAACATCACGTGGGACAAAAACCCGCCCATCAACAAGGTCCCTACACAAACCCTTTTCACTAAGACCGCACATCCCAAAATCACAGGAAAACAACATGAATTCTAAAACAACAGAAGGAAACAGACTGAGTCTTAGAATTAAACCTGTTATTGGCCGTCCAGTGCTTGGCTCTCCTGTCTCAACGGTCGAGTACCCCCGCGATCCCTCAATCTGTGCCACCGGCGGTGCTCCCAACTTAGCCAAAGACTACCCTCCCAGCTGCAAGCTTGGCTGCACCCACTACTGCACCACTGGTTGCATCATCGGTTTGCACCGCTGCTATCGCCATTTGCTGCAACTTAGGACACCTCGTCTCGATATGTCCTGTCTCTCTGCAGTGGTAACAGACACGAGTATCCACCCACGGTTCGCCCTTCTTCTAGCAACTCGCCACCCTGTGATCCGTGCTCCCAAACCTGAAGCACTTCTGGTCACCCGGACTCGCCCTAGAAGTGTCATCCCACTTCCTCTTCTGTCCCTGAACAGGTTTGCCACCTCTGCTCGGAACCCTTTGCGGTTGGGTCTTCTTCGGCTGCACCGACGGACTAGGAATCACCCCGTGACTTCTCAACTCTTCCTCGATCCCCGCCGCAACCTCAACCAGCTCCACACGCGATGCATAGGCCCGCACCTTGCACCGCACCCTCATGTCAGGGCTGAGATCCTTCATGAACCGACGCACCTGCATCTGCTCAGGATCTCCCGCACGCCCCAAGTACACCAAGAGTCGGCTGAACTCCGAGTCGTACTCCCGCACCGACCGCTCGCCCTGAGTCAACGCCAAGAACTGCGACTCCATCCGGTCTAGTGCCTCCGCCGAGAAATACTTGGCATTAAACTCTGCCAAGAAATCTCCCCATACCGCCAATCCATGCCCCCTCTTGGCTAGCACACTCCGCCACCACAAATGTGCATCACCACCCAAGTAGTGGGCCGCTAGGTCCACCTGATACGCCTCCGGGCACCTCATCGACTAGAAATATCGCTCCAATCGCACTCGCCACTCATCCGCTACAGCCGGGTCGGAGCCTCCAAAGAACAAGGACATCCCAAACTGTTGCAACTGCTCCAACATCCGCAGGTAGTATGGCTGCTGAACCACCGCACCTACCCCCTCAGGCTATACAACCCCGACAATGGGCTGCACACCAGGCCCAACAGACTGCACACCAGGCCCAACACGCTGCATACCAGCCCCAACAGGAGCCTGCACCTCAGGCCCAACAGGAACTTACACTGGCGGTACCGCACCCAGTAGCCGCTCCAAGAGCTGCATCAGAAGATCCGCAAGCCGATCATTCTGACCCTGGGCTCCACCTGCTGGAACACCCCCAACCGGGTTTCCAACCACACTAGTACCGTTCCCGGACGAACCGGCTCCCACGGCACTCACACTCTCACCACCCAAGGGTCTCTCCTAATGCGACTAGGACTCGTTAAAAAAATCGGCCGTAGCACTCCGATCCACACTCGCATCGCTACCCGAGGAAATATCACGCCCCCTACCACGACCACGCCCACGACCACGACCACGGCCACGGCCACGACCCACAGCTCCACCTTTAACCATGTGCATCACAACAGAAGGCTAAGAACACCAAACCACACAACTTACCGTGGAATCTCATTGAAGGCTCGAGAGGATGATCTAGGTCTCCATGCTCACATAATTGATTAAACACACAAATCAATCAGCATGCAATCCACATCATCATTCCTCATCAAAGAAATTCACACATCATATCACAATTTACCAATTAAATGTCGTGCTAGAACCGTAAATGCTCTGATACCAAATTGAAAGAACCTATCCCGTTTTTTTTTTTAAACATGTAGACCGGATTAACCCAACTAATTGTAAACCAGCTAAACCAGCCCTAAACCAATTCAAATCAATTAAACCACACATAACATAACCAGCAGAAGACTTAACCACAATCCATGAAAATAACTCCATTAAACCAACAAGTTCAACAAACCAATATTTCAGAAACATAAGCATCCTAACATATTTCCAAATTCCATTCTAACACCCTAACAAATCCTACAATAATCTAACACATCAATGACTGCATATATCATCCTGCTCTCCTCGCCATGATTCCATGCATCACACTTTGTTTTTACCTGCATCAAAGAAAGAGATGCATAAGTATTTCATAAATACTTAGTGAGACAATCATCCCACCACTGGCTATACACACAAGCAGAGATGAACACATTCAAGTATTAACTCAAACAACCACCAATATAACACAAAACAACACAAAATGACCCGTTCTGACGAGTAGTGTCGATCGACACCATCCGATGGTGTCGCTCGACACTCGCGACCATCCTCGCAAGAGAGAACGTTGGTGTCGATCTACACCCACCACTGGTGTCGAGCGACACTGAAACCCTAACATCGCTCCAGCCGCTTATGATCAACGAATCCCACGCCTCTTGCACGCCATGACCGATTAGTCACCTCCTTAGGCTCGTACCAAGACCCCCAAACACATAAAACAAGCATACAAAACAAATGAATCAATCATCAATCAAAGAAAACACCCAAACATGCATAAAAACTGCTAAAATCAGCCTAGTCATGCACTCACCTTTCAAAAGGACTGAAACAAGGACGAACATATTATAACAAAAGAAACAAAAGCCCCTCCTAACACCACAGCTACAAGATCTCTCTTCTTAAGGATATAATCACCAAGAACAAGCATCAAAACAACCTCAAACCTCACCAAAACCTCACTAGAGAACTTAGAAACTTTAGAGAAGAATAAAAACGGTTGTTTTAACCCTAGGTCGACCTTTCCTCTCTTTTAAATGCGACTTAGGTTAAACCAAACCATAACCCACACGGTTCGCAATTAAAATTGACCCGATCAAACCGAAAAAATGATGGTGTCGAGCGACACCCTTCAGTGGTGTCGATCGACACCGCCCAAACTGGAACAAGGGCGTTACAATGTCATTTTTTTAAAACTCGGCTTTAGCTATATAATTTCCGATTTTAGGTTAGATATATCTAATTTTTATTGTTAGGTTTTGATTAATAAGAGCTAATCAAAACTTTTAAGCTAGGGGTATTTTTTCATTAAGGATAAAACGGTAATCCGGTCTGAGCTAAATTTTTGATTTTGTCTTGCAAACACTTGATTTTCATTGTTTTGTTTCAATTAAATAACGATTAAGGAAAAAATTATAACTCAGGGGTATTTTTCATTAAAGGTAACTTAGTAATTTTTTTCTGAGATTGAACGTGAGCCTTTCGACTACTACTTTAATAATATATATTTATTATAAGGGTTTCAATGTGTGGTTACCCGAGCGTTTAACCGGCGGTTTATTACGGTTACGGTTATTATTTTTTTTTTTTTTGTAACTAATTTATTTGTACGGTTAACGGTTATAGTTACGGCTAGAAATACAGTTAAGGTTAGCTTTTGGTCATGCCTAAAAATAAGAGCTTTACCATAGGAGGTGCTCTTAGAGACATGTTCAAGAGTCTCTTGATGAACTAGAAGATCTCAAATTTTGATGTCAACATCAACATCAATTTAATTGGTTAAACGTGTGATATGTGCTCTTGTTATGCTGCCATGCAGTTCAAGATGTTCCATTACAAAGGGAGAAACTGCACATGGTCTTTGTAAGAAATAAACATAACTAATTTCTTTGAAGATCTAATAACGTTGATCTTTATTTGTCATAATCCAAAAAAACTTGTATCCTGAATAAAACACAACTCAAATCAGTATACAATGGTCAAATTCATTCAACTCTTATATCATCAACAACTGGTTACATACAAAGTAGACACATTATTAATGCAAGAAAATGAGATCACAAGAAGATCAAATAAGGGAACTGATTCTATGATGTTCCACAACAACCCTTTCCTTTAGATTCAATCTCATCTCCATCAACAATAATCTTAGTTCCTTGCAATAGAGAAGAGTCTCCTCCAGATTCTCCTTCCTCATTCGCAACAAGATTCTTTTTACTCACAATTCGATAGATTTCAGTCAGAACCGTAAGAAAAGACGGCTCGACATTGTTGGAATCCAAAGCTGATGTCTCCATGAAAAAGAGGTTTTCTCTTTGTGCAAATTCTTTAGCATCCTCTGTTGGTACAGCTCGAAGTGTCCCGAGATCAGTCTTGTTTCCTATAAGCATTATTACAATGTTCTTGTCAGCATGTCCTTTCAATTCTTCTAACCATCTTGCTACATGATCAAACGACTGTCTTTTGGTTATATCGTAAACTAGCATTGCTCCTACTGCTCCTCTATAGTATGCACTCGTCACCGCTCGATACCTTACCACAAAAAGAACAAAATATACCTCCACCACAATCAGAGCCATAATCAAATACAATATCTATAAATAACTTATAATCTCCTTTGACACTTAAAACTAAAATGTATATAATTGCAATACTAAATGACTAAATTACATATTTTCTACTGATTAAATCTAAAAACACTTATAAGTTTAAATCATATAACTTTAATACTAAATAAAAACTTTAAAAACTAAACATTACTACACATGAAAATAATTTTTTCTGCGAGTATATCGTAAAGATTTATTAGTCACGCATTGGTAAAAAAAATTCTTATAACCACTTCAATTTTCGTGTATGAACCTTAATATTCAAAGTTTTGTGGCTATATGGATATTTGTACTATAGCCACGAAAATTCAAGTGGTTATATGAATTTTTTTTCTAAGTACAAAGAAAAAGTATTTAGAATTTTTAAACGTTGTAAGTTGATACTATAAACACCTGTTTACAAAATCCCTGCTAACTTCAATTACTCTCTATGTAATTGCTAAAGCCATTCTATCCACTTTAATTAATAACTAATCCTTTGAAAAACCAGTTACTTAATTATTCCTCGCCTAATCAGAAATAAAATATACACAAAAATTTTCCTGCGAGTTAAAAACCTAGTTCAACTATATAATAATAGCAAACATAAATCTCATTTTTTCATATAGTTGGCGAAATGTCTATACGACAACGTTTTGGTCAAGGTCCTTGGTCGTACTTGCAACCACCTTTTATTATTAACACAAATGGAAGCAACCAAAAAGTTTTCAAGATCTCAAAAAAAAAGGATCATAGATTTGTTTTAAGAAAAAATATTGTACCGTTCTTGACCAGCAGTATCCCATATCTGAGCTTTGATAGTTTTATGATCGATCTCAAGAGTTCTTGTCTGAAACTCAACACCAATGGTAGCTTTAGATTCGATACTGAACTCGTTTCTTGAAAACCTAGCGAGGAGTTGAGATTTACCAACAGCAGAGTCGCCGATCAAGACTACTTTGAAGACATAATCTATCTTTTGGTTGAAATTGCTTTGATGCAACTTCGACATGGTTTTTTGTTCCGACCAAGATCACGACCTTTAGGAGTTGACTTTAGTTTTGTAATAAGATGATCTCTTGAATCATCTGATGGAGGAAGAGAGGGATGAAATAAAGAGAGAGAGAGACAGAGAAAGAGATCTAAAGTGGGCTGCGACTTGTGGAGACGTGAAGGGAAGAAACGAGGAGGGAACACCAAAACGAGGAGAGATCTCTTTTTTCTCTTTTTGACGTCATTCTCACCACCCTTCTTTTTTTCTTGCCAATTGTTTTTTTTCTTTTTTTTTTTTCAATAGATAATAAGGAATCACAAACTCACCTAAAAAAAGAAATCTCATGATGTTTAATTATCTTTATATATTTTTCTATTTATCAAAAATAATGTAACACCCGTGTCTCAAATTTTGGTGGTGTCGACCGACACCAGTGTTAGATCCAACAAAATTGGGTTAGACGGTTTAGTTTTTAAACCGTCGGTTTAATTGGAATTGATTGGAGAAATCCTATGCACGACTTTAAACTTGTGGAAGCAGCCTTTCTTTCTCACTTTTGGCTTTTGTCGCTTCTTAAAAACAAAAGAGAGAGAGAGGCTTGTTAGTTGGTTGTTCCTAAAGCTTAAGAAGTGGATTGTGAGGGTTTCTGGAGGTTTCTGTGGCTAGTTCTGGTGATTTCTAGCAAGGAGAGGGTTGGATTCGTGGCTGGTGGTGCAAGGAGGGGCATGTTCTTTCTGTTCCTCTTTGTTTCATCCTTCTTTGAATCCATATCAAGGTGAGTGCGTGACTATGGCTAATCTAAGCATGTTTAACCTTTCTGATGTGTGTTTGATTGATTTGGATGGCTGGATTTGTTTTGTGTGGCCATGATTGTGTGTTTTGGTTGTTGTTATTGTATGTTTGAGTGTTAGAGCTCATGCTTGGAGATTTGGAGGTGATGGATTCGTTCTCTGGAGAGTTGAGAGGCGAATTCAGGGTTTCTGCGGGATCGGTGTCGCTCGACACCAAATTTCTGGACAGTTTTTGTGGATAGCGTGTAATTCGTGTCTTTTTATGCCTGGTTTGTTTGTTCTGGTTAATCTGATGCATGTTAGATTGGTTTAATATGCTTGTGTGTATAGCCCAGTAGATGGGAGGATCGCTTCACTGAGTATTTGTGATAATACTCACGCATCTCATTGTGTTTGTGGTGCATGTATAGTGTGATTTGTGGAATCATGGCAAGGAGAGGAGGATGATCTAGGGTCTCAGTGGTTATGTCTATGAATATGTTTAGTTGTTGTTGGAACATGGTTTAGAGGCATGCTAGGTTGATGGTGTACATTGTGGTTATTGAATAATTGGTTAATTGATATTATGATTAATTGATGTTGGTTTAATATGTTTCCGCTGTGCATGATGATTTATTGTTGGGTTAATTCGGTTAGGTTAATTAGTAGGTATGTGACTATTAATTAATGAATTAAAAAAAAACGGGTCTCTTTTCAAATAATTATTAATTTTAATTTCAAATCCATACAAAATTATATAAATTAATTTAATATTTTTTAAAACTTTTCTGTAAAATACTATTTGTATTAAAAAAAAAAATTTCACCCAAAATTAAAAATTATAAACTAACATTTTCTTTCCAGTAAAGACTCTAAGAGTTTTTTGAATTTTACTTAGTTTATATATTAAACTATCTAAATTTGTATATATATATTGTCTTGGGAGTTAAGTGAGATCGGGTTAATGGAGTAGGGTTTTTTTATTTTGAGAAAATTCTGTTTTTGAGAAAATATTCGTATGGATCGGTTAATATATTGTTAATTCGAATTGGTTATAAGATTATGAAATCAATTCGAGTTGGTTACTGGATTTATGTTTTGTTTAAAATCAGATATGGTTACTTTTTGTTTGTCGTGAATGTTAGGACTGTAGACCATTAAATAAAGGACTCAAACGAGCTAAGAACAAAAAACATTGTTTACGTTGAGACTTAATAGCGGTTCGGAAAATAAGTTTGTGTGCCAAAGAATCCACTTTAATATTAGAGCAACGAGAACTTTTAACTAAAAAAAAAAAAACTCCCTTATATATATACTAGTAAAAAAAAAATCCCTATAGCCATTTGAATTTTCGTGACTGAGCCTTAATTTTCGTGGCTATATGGAATTTTTTTTACTATATCCACGAAAATTCAAGTGGCTATAGGAATTTATTTTACTAGATCTACTAAATATCACATGCTGAGTTAAACAACTTCAAAGTGATTACTTAGTTTCTTATGAGTGAGTTACATTTGACGTTGTAAAGGTGGTATGTGTGTGGATTGTGTGGTGTGTGATTTGTAGAATTATGGTGAGAAGATGAAGGTTGAAATTTAAGTTTGGGTTAATAAAGATAATCCTAGGATGTATGAAGAATGGCAATACAAGGTTTGTTTTTATATGCGGGTCATCTATAGTGGATTCGTAGTGGTATAATTTGCTCGATGGTCCCTTCCGACTTTGTTTTGTAGATGGTTGATAATGAGATTTTGTATGTATGTGTGTGGTTAAGCAGAGAAATTAGGAAAACGTTTAGGAAAGTGTTCACATGGAACAAGAATCCAAATTAGGAAGAGTAGAGGTGAAGCTATATAATTTCCTTCTACTTGTTCTTGATTACTCGAGTATTTAACTCGATAACTTAACCGAAGTAAAGTATATGCGGGATCGATCACACGGAGGAATGGTACACTAAAGATTTGCGAGACTCGTTATCAGCTAAAGCGGAAAAGACTTGTTGTTTGGTTTTTTAGTTTGTAAATAAAATTGCAAATAAAACGATTAATCTTATGAATCAAAGATATTGGGAAGCAAGGTATTTTTAGAGAATCAATGAATAACAAATAAAAGGCAATAAGGAATTCAAACATGAAGAACCGTTCTTAAACATGAACACAAGTTTAGACCAATTCCCTCTCAAGACATTAATCTCTAAATTTAACTATTCAATTACTAAACTCTCATTTGTAATTTCCTAGCCAAATTTGCATTATCAAACATGTTCATTTGGTTCACAAAGCATTCTAACATCAACTCTCGCAGATTAGAAATACAATGCTCAATTTACATTCATTCAGACATTTTATCGAACATCTCTGAAACACATAAAAGCCTAAGCTCTGAAATAGGGTGATCAATCCTATTCTAGCATTGAGAACATGTAAACTGAAGAACCTAAAGATTAAGAATTCCCTAAGACATCTAATCTATCAAATCATTGAATTCTCTTACTTGAAACCCTAAAACCCAATTAAGAGACTACTCACACGTAACATTTGAAACAAAGCAAATAGATTTAAAAGGAAACATGATTCAATAGATTAGAATAAGCAAAAGGTTTAGAAATCTTCTCCAAATTGTCAAAGAGGAATCAATCTCTATCCCAGATGTTGCTTACAAGTCTAAAACTCAGAAAACTGCTGTAAAGAAAGCGTAGAATGAAAAACAGGTCTTTTTGGGTTTTAATACCCATTACAGAAGAAAATAGAAATTAATTCCGGTTAAGAAAACCGAAATTGGAATGGACCGATCGGTCTGAAAGATGGACCGATCGGTCGTTTGGCTCCTGGTCTTGTCCGGGTGAATGGATTGATCGGTCTAAGGTGAGGACCGATCGATCCCTGTGCTCTGATCAGGGTCGGGTAAATGGATCGATCGATCCATTGTGGGGATCGATCGATCGTCTCGCTCCTGGAATGTGCCGTCCGTTTGGATCGGTCGGTCTGGTGATGGACCGGTCGGTCCATTCTCTGCATCAGCTAAAGTTGCACTTCCTTGCCCGAAACTGGTCCAAAACGCGCCAATTCCGCTCCAACCGCTTATCTCCTGCTCAAGACTCAAAACACGACTCGAAAGACAAGAAAGACGAACTAAAACATGATAAACGACTCAAAATGTACATAAAAGAAAGGGTGAAAGACTCTAAAAAACATTGTATATCAGTTCTCTTTGGCTTGCTAAACTGGTTTCCCAAATCGAAAACAAACCGAAAATATCTAAAAGTACTCGTAAACTCTGAAAATATATATTCAAAATATTTCAAAACATCCAAACTTTTTAGTTTGAACAATTCAAATGTAATTCTGTTTTAGATTGGTTTGTTGTCTAAGATACAAAATCGAATCGCAACCGAACCAAAAAGTTTAGAAAACAACCAGTTCTAGACAAACCAATAACTTTGCCACAACAAACTATTCGATATGTCTCTAAAATTATTCAATTCAGTATAACTATTTGATATATGTCTAAAATTGAAAAAATTGGAGCTTTATATGTGTTTAAAACTTTTTATGTGATTAATCCTTTAAATTTACACAAACGATAGTTTTGTCATTTCAAATTTGCCAAAACAAAAAGTATATATTAAAATTCACACATAATCCTTTTTAATACTTTTAGACAGAAATAGTAAATTTAATTAAAATTTTATATATTATGAATTAAATAATGTGTAGTTAACAAAATTGTAAAAAAAAATGTGAAAAATTGGAACTTTATATGTGTCTAAATGTTTTTATGTGATCACTTTTCTCATTCGTCCAAATTTAAACAGACGAGAATTTTTGTCATTTCCATTTTTCCACTAAATGATTTTCAACAAGTCATACATAATCAATTTGAATATTTTTAGGAAAAAATTGTAAATTTATGAAAATTCTATAGTTAAAAAAATTTAAATAATGTGATCTCAATTTCTTTTTCTTTGGGAAAACAAATGTGATTTCAATTATAATAAAAATAAAGTTCTTTCTAAATTCTAAAATAAAATACAATCCACTAAACCGTAAAATACCAATGACGACCACAAAAATCATAAATCCAATTTCACCGTCTTCCTCTCGTCACCACCACTCGTTTCGCCGTTCTCCTCCTCCACTATCGCCGTGTTCATCGTCTTCACCACCGTAAGTCTTCTTCGATGCTTTAGAGTTTAGAAGCTAATCCTCGTCTTCTCGTTTCGTCTCCTTAAGCTAATCCCTTGACATCATCGCTCGGCACAAAAAGACATTGTACTAAATTTACGCTTAGATCGATTCTATGGTTTCTCTCTTTTCCCAATTCGTTGTACTAACTCTTGAGGTTTCGCTGTTATCAATTGAACTCTAAAACTTAAAAGTTTCAATTTAGGTCTGAAATTGATGTTTTGCTTGTTAGAACAGTGTTAAGTTTTGAGATGTAATCTTGAATAATGTAATGTTCTGATAAAAATTCTCTTTTTTGGATTTGAGTCAATCCATAAGAATGAACTTGAGACTCAGTTATGTGGTTTACACTATTTTGTGTAGTTCTGGACTTGAAAGATTTGGTGATTCGAAGTCATGACAGTTTCAGAAGCTTATCGTCCACCTCTGTTCAGGTGTGTGTGCTTAGTGTTTCTGCTATTCTCTGTTTGATAATTATGTTTATGGACAGTGAATGATCTGTAAGCTTGATCTCCTTTTTTATTAATATTCAGTATAGCCCCGATGATGGGATGGACAGACAATCATTACAGAACCCTTGCACGGCTTATAACAAAACACGCATGGCTCTACACAGAAATGTTAGCAGCTGAAACCATTGTCTATCAAGAAGAAAACCTGGTAATCTAATTGATAAGAAAGAGTTTCTTACTCGTCCAAGTTATTACTTATTGAGTTAATGTCTCATTGTTTTATGTTTTGCTCTTGTAATGTTCAGGACAGCTTTTTGGCTTTCTCTCCGGACCAACATCCCATTGTTCTTCAAATTGGTGGAAGAAACTTGGAAAATTTGGCAAAAGCGACCAGGCTTGCTAATTCATACGGCTATGATGAAATTAATTTCAAGTATGAGCATCTCTTTCAAGTTTCTTTTCCGTTGAGTTATTATAACAACTATGACATTTCCATCCCATTATGCTTTCGTCTACTGACATGCTGGTTGATTCTGTAGCTGTGGATGTCCAAGCCCGAAAGTAAGTGGACGAGGTTGTTTCGGTGCTCGTCATATGCTTAACCCTAAGTTTGTTGGTGAGGCTATGTCTGTCATTGCTGCCAATACCAAAGCAGCTGTCACTGTTAAATGTCGAATAGGTGTTGATGATCATGATTCATATAATGAGCTTTGTAAGTTTTACATCCTGCCTAGCTTTCGAGTTATATGTGTATATTAAATGGAGACTCATGTTACTCTGCACACACAACACCAGACATTTCTCATGTTTATTTTTATTCAGCGGCAAATAATAACTTTCCTAAGTTCATTCATTACATATCTGATCGACTTCTTTATTGTTCTTCAGGTGATTTCATTCATATAGTTTCTTCATTATCTCCAACTAAGCATTTCATCATACATTCACGGAAGGCATTACTGTCTGGACTTAGCCCATCAGATAACCGTCGAATTCCTCCCTTAAAGTGTGTGCAGAATGACTCTCATTTCTCTTTTAGTTCTCCTTTTGGAGGATATGTTGCTGTAACTCTGCTTGTTCCATACATCTCTCATATTTTTCATCTACACTTCTGTTTTTCCAATGCAGATACGAGTTTTTCTTTGCCCTTTTGCGTGATTTTCCGGACTTGAAGTTCACAATAAATGGAGGCATAAACTCTGTGGTTGAGGTGAGCTTATAAAGCTGATACTTTTTTTAATTCCAAAGTTGTAACTTGCGTTCAAAAGGCCAGATTCTCACTTCTTGCATTGGAACTGTAGGCAGATGCTGCATTAAGGTCTGGAGCCCATGGCGTTATGCTTGGGCGTGCTGTATACTACAAGTATGTGAAAGCCTTTTGCTGTAAATTTTAATTCTTGATATACATCATATAAGAGTTTTACTCTTTTTCTTTCTAAACCTTTTTGGCTGATTTATGGAAATCTATGCTGGCTATGCAGTCCATGGCACACTTTGGGACACGTCGATACTGTAATTTATGGATCTCCAAGCAGTGGAATTACAAGGCGGCAGGTTTTGACACAGATTAATTTTCGGAAATAGAATCTTGAACAATTATAGCTATGATTTGAAATATGTGATTTGTTTCGTTTTCTCTTATTGATGTTTAGGTTCTTGAAAAATATCAAGTCTATGGTGAGTCAGTTCTTGGGAAATATGGAAAAGGCAGACCAAATCTCCGAGATATAGTGAGGGTAATGGTCTTTTCTAAGTCTCAATTTACCAAGTTATTTTTCAATTACATAAGCGTTATAACAAGAGGAAAACTTTGCTGCAGCCATTGATCAATCTATTCCACTCGGAGTCTGGAAATGGCCAATGGAAACGTAGAACTGATGCTGCTCTCTTGCATTGCACCGTTAGTGAATCAACTGACACTCTTCGTTTTTACTTGCTATCAAACCCTTATCTCTGTGTTAACTCATCTCTTTTCTTGTGCAGACCTTAAAATCGTTCTTGGACGAAGTGTTACCATCAATACCGAACTTTGTTCTCGATTCATCTGTTGTCAAAGAAGCGACTGGGCGTGAAGATCTCTTTGCGGATGTACGACGTTTGTTACCTCCTCCTTATGAAAAAGAATCACCCAAAGCATTGGAAAGGCTACCAACGATACCTCTGATTCTTGATGATGAGGAGTGACAAATCTATTTTTTCATAGCCATACCAAGAACAACGAACTAGCTGAAACATTACAAGGATAAAGATTCAAAAATTGTGCAGCTATAAAGATGTGATATTGCTCTGACCACTTGATTTGAAAGAACAAAAATGTAAAGGTTAAAAACCTCGGATCCAAAGTAGTTGCACTTGATTCTTTCTGTATTTTTCACACTTCTTTTAGAAGAGAACATTCTCAATTCTTATATTATATTAAGACAGTTCAGAAAAAAGTTTCTACCTATGTGACGACTTGCTAATGATCTTTACCTGGTTTCAGTCCACAAAGTATATGATATTAATAAATTGTTTTCTTACTTCAAAACTATTGGAGTTTATAACATCAATATTAAAGTTAACACTAGCCAGTTGACAAAAATGATACATACATAATAATGCATCAACTTTGATAATTGGTAAATACAAAATTGAAAGTGGCTCGTAAACGTCCTTGCACGTCTCACAGAGACATGATTACACGATCTAGTTGGATGGAGTCATAACACCAGGGAATTATAGCTGTACTTAGAGAAAAAGCTTTGCTATATAAACTCATACACCCATTCTTAACAATGCAAACCAAAACAAGAAACAATTACCAACGTAGGCGTTGGTAGAGAAAAGCTAAATCGCAATGAGATCTTCATCCAAGATGGGGCCTTCTGCCCATCTCATTTCCACTCTAGGAGTTATCATCATGGCAACAATGGTTGCTGCATATGAACCATACACGTATAGTTCTCCACCACCACCGTATTCTTCACCATCTCCTGTAGAATACAAGTCTCCCCCTCCACCATACGTTTCTCTACCACCACTACCGTATCTCTCTCCATCACCTAAGATTGACTATAAATCTCCTCCACCACCGTATGTTTACAGTTCTCCACCACCACCACCGTATTACTCACCATCTCCAAAGGTTGAGTACAAGTCCCCTCCTCCCCCAGTTTACAGTTCTCCACCACCACCATACTACTCACCATCCCCTAAAGTAGACTACAAATCTCCTCCCCCACCATATGTTTACAGTTCCCCACCACCACCGTACTACTCTCCATCCCCTAAAATTGTATACAAATCCCCTCCTCCACCATATGTCTACAACTCCCCACCACCACCTTACTACTCTCCATCCCCTAAGATCGACTACAAGTCTCCTCCACCACCATATGTTTACAGCTCCCCACCACCACCATACTACTCTCCATCCCCTAAGGTCGACTACAAGTCTCCTCCACCACCGTATGTTTACAGTTCTCCACCACCACCATACTACTCACCATCCCCTAAAGTTGACTACAAATCTCCTCCCCCACCATATGTTTACAGTTCTCCACCACCACCGTACTACTCTCCATCCCCTAAGGTAGACTACAAATCTCCTCCACCACCGTATGTTTACAGCTCACCACCACCACCATACTACTCACCATCCCCTAAGGTAGACTATAAGTCTCCCCCTCCACCATATGTTTATAACTCCCCACCACCGCCGTACTACTCCCCAT